GATATGGGCAACGCACGCGTGCCCTCAAGGACTATCTTGTCAAGAGTGTGTCTAGCTTGTAGACGGCTGAGAGTACGACGGCTTATGCCAGCTATGCTTGCTTGCCTAGACTTTATTATGCTTGCATAGGTTTATTTGATGCATGCATGATTTGCTTGATTTTCTAGGCTAGGTGCTATCCTATATTATGCGCTTCGGCACAATATTGTACGCGCTATGAACAGTGCAAGCAGAAAGGACGAGCTCGCAAAGGAACCCAAGATGGAAGCTTTGCAGTTCGGTTGAGTTGATTGCGCAGATTCAGTTCTATCCAACTCAAAATTGTACTGTTATGTTTGGTTGACTATAGTGTAGCAGGGCAGGCACTATAGGGGTACAATTTAGGTGAAGGTTGGATGTTGTTTGTCTGTATCTGCATGCTACAAGGCCAGGGGAAACCAGCAGAACCAGCATTTGGCTGGTTAGGCAAAGACAAAACAGGTTCTGTTTTTAGAACCTGAACCTGATTGTTGTTTTCCCAGGTTGGAAAAACAGAACCAGAGGTTGTTTTCCAACCTACCACCTGCTGTTTTGTCCAGCCAGGTTGGTTTTGTTGCTTGGAATTATTTGGGATCATCCCTGGTTGTTCCCAGGTTGATTCCCAAGGTCCTTGCTAGCTAGAACTATTTATTCCTTCTCTGTTTGTACCTGGATATAGTCAATTGATTCATGCGAATTCCTTCCTCGCTGGAATTTCGTTTCTACGCGGTTTAACGGCGGAATGCTACCCTAGTCAACGCTAGTACGCTAGCACTCCAACGCTAGGCAAACGCTGTCCGAGCCATAACTTCGTAATGGCAGAACTTTTCGCAAGGCAACTTGGCTTATTTTAAAGCTCTTGGAGCGAGCTTCGATATAGAGAATTCTCAGCTTAATCCGATCGACGGTCTGCATGGCACGCTGCGCGACGTTCAAGGTACTCTTGCTATTTTGACTAAGTCCTTCTTGATCCTCTCTCTCTACAAACTCGGACCCGAGGATAAGGGCTGGTCTTGTACCAGGCACCTAGGGACCCTTGGAGGTGACCTCGAGGAGAGGTTTTAAGTTTGATTAAGTCCTAATAGCTTGAGTTTATTAGGCCCTTACACTAACAATAGCACCGAGCTAGGTTGCGTACACCGAATCCTAGGCGATTCGGTTGCCACCGGATTGCCTTCTACCGAATTCAATAAAGGCCTGTTCGAGACGCTTCGCGACCCGCGGAACCAACACGCGACCGCTGAGCAGCCGGCCGACTTTCTGACGAAGGCGCTGCACTATCCGGCCTTCAACCGGTGCTCCGTCGCAGTCGGCCAGGTGCGCCTGGCTGAGGTGGCCGACGACGACAACGAGGTGCAGCATTAGGTGTCATGAAAGGCTGGTGCGGTGGACGACGTGCTGTGTGTTGGGTGCACGTCGACAAGCTTATCTCCAAGAAGTACTGCCGTGCGGCAGGGGAGTGTCAACGGGAGTTGTTGTGTGGCCCCGTCCTCGCTTGGGCGGAGCCGACTTCGTGGTCGGGTGTAGGGGTGCAGCCAACCTGCAGCAGTGGGCGAGCTGGTCGACGAGGTTGGTCGACCTGCACGGGGAGCCACTGCATGGGCGCCGACTTCGGGAGGGCGCCAACTTCGGGTGGTCGACCTGGGAAGTCGACCTGCGGAGGGCGTCGACCTAGTTGGTCGACCAGACCTGCTGGTCGACTTGGTGGCTGGTCGACCAGGCGTGATGTCGACCTGCGGGTCGACCGATCGTGGTGGCCGACGAAGGAGAGGCCGACATCGACCACGGCAGAAAGATTCAGGACGCCGTAGTTGATGGGCGTCGAGTAGCAGGCCGTCAACTTGGTGACGCCAACTTCGGGTAGCCGACTTCGTGGTCGGCTGACAACTGGGCTGGTCGACGAGGAGCTGGTCGACCAGGAGTGACGTCGACCTGAAGATGGTCGACCAGGGATAGTGGTCGACCTGGTGAAGTCGACTGGAGGTGGCCGTCGACTTGGGAGGTCGACGGGCACGCACAGGAGCAGCTGGTCGACGTGGTTGCCTGGTCGACCAGGTTACCTGGGTGACGAGGCTCTACGAAGGCACGCGACGGTCGCCCAGGCGATGTTGGCGAGGACGACCTCGGGGGTGGTATCCCGAGGTAGACGTGGCTGATCAGAGGTGGTCGTCAGCACGTAGAAGATCTGGGTGTGCGCTGTGCAGGTGACGAGCCACTGCACGCCAATCAACTGCAAGCACCTGCGAAGCGTGTGCGATGCTGTACTGCGAGAGCAACGCTGTCACGCCGTCGACCTGCAGCGTTGGCAAGCCGCGACTCTGCACTGCTGGAGCGCGGTCGACCAAGTCATGCTGGCACGCGGTCGACCGTGCTGCGCTGGCAGTGGACTTGCTTGCATGCTAGCTCTAATGTAGTCCTACCTTGCCAACTTCACTGCACCATTGTTGTCAACCTTTCTTAGTGAAACTCTTGCCAAATTTCCCCGTGAACTAGCAAGCAGTGTGTGCACTAGGAAAACGACTAAGGAACAAGGAACGCAGAGATCACACGAGCACCCGTGCCTAGCCCGTAGTCTAGCTCCCGTTGTGCTCGTCCAGCTCTTCTTGTCGCCGGCGGCGTCGGCGTCCACGTAGCCGACCCGTAGTCTAGCTCCCGTTGTAGTAGTTATCATCCACAAGGGTATGTTTTGCACTTACTCTTATTACTATTTATATGGGTAAATAATGAATTTTTTTTTGTACCATGTACATATGTAAAGAACTCACTTACTGTTAGTACCATTCACATCGGTAAGTGAGGAATTTACTCATAGTTCCATACACATGGGTACATGGCGCACTTAGTTTAATTAGCATCCACTTAGTTTTATGTACATATGTAAAGAACGCACTTACTTTTAGTACAAGCTACATGGGTAGATAACGCGCATACTCATAGTACCATCTACATGGGTAAGTAACGCACTTACTGTTAGTACCATCTACCTTGGTACGTAACGCACTTACTCTTAGCACCATCTAGAGATAAATTATGCAACTAGTTCTAGTACCATCCACATAGATAAGAAACGCAGTCATGATTAGTTTTATCCACATATGTAAGTAACGCGCCTACTCCTAGTACCATCCATTTCTGTAAGTAATAGACTTCTTTTTAGTACCATCTATATGGATGAAAGAAGCACTTACTCTTAGTACCATCCACATGGGTAAGTAACGCACTTACTCCTAGTACCATCCATATGTGTGAGTAACGCATTTAATTTTTGTACCATTCATATGGGTAACTACGCACCTACTTTTAGTACCATCTACATGGGTAAGTAACAAACTTATTCTTAGTACCATCTAGGCGGGTAAATTATGCTATTATCTCTATTTTTATCCACATGTGTAAGTAACGCATACTTTTACTACCATCCATATAGGTAAGTAACACACTTACAACTAGTATCATCCACAAGGGTATGTTATGCACTTACTCTTAATACCATCCACATGGGTAAGAAACGCACTTACTCTTAGTACCATCCACATGGGTAAATAACGCACTTACTCTTAGTAGCCGCTGGAGGAAAATTATGCAACTACTTCTAGAACCATCCACATGGAAAAGAAATGCAATTACTCTTTGTTTCATTTACATGTATAGTAACGCGCTTATTCCTAGTACCATGCATATGGGTAAGAGAAGCACTTCCTCTTAGTACCATCCACATGTGTAAGTAAAGTACGTACTCCTATTACTATTTACATGGGTGTGTAATGCAGTTACTCTTAGTTCCATCCACATAGGTAAGCAAATCGCTTACTCTTAGTACCATCCACATTGATACATAACGCATTTACCCTTAGTATCATCCACATGGGTAAGCAACGCAATTACGGTTAGTACCATGCACACGTGTAAGTTACGCACTTACTCTAAGCGACATCCATATGGGTAGGTACCACACTTACTCTTAGTACTCGCTAGATGGCTAAATAACACACATACTTCTGAAACTATCGACATAGGTAAGTAACGTACTTACTTTAAGTACCATCCGCATGGGTAAGTAACTCACTTACTTTTAGTACCTAAGTAATGTCAACGGGAGTCGTTGTGAGGCCTCGTCCTCGCTTGGGCGGAGCCGACCTTTTCGTCGGGTGTGAGGGGGGCAACCGACCTATAGCAGTGGGCGAGTTAGTCGTCGGGGCTGGTCGACCTGCACAGGGGCCACTGCAGGGGCGCCGACTTCAGAGGGCGCCGAGTATGGGTGGTCGACCAGGCGAGGTCGAGCTCGGAGGCGTTGACATGGTGACGCCGACTTGGGGCTGCTGACTTGGGTGGCCGGCTGACAGGAGTGTTGTCGACCTAGAGCTGGTTGACCAAGGGTGTGGTCGACCTGGTGAGGTCGACTAGAAGTGGTCGTCGCCTTGGCTGGTCGACGGGCACGTAAAGGAGTTGCTGGTCAACTTGGTTGCCAGTTGGACCAGGTTACCTGTCAACAGGAATCGTTGTGAGGACCCGTCCTTGCTTGGGCGGATCCGACCTAGTGGTCGGGTGTGAGGGAAGCAGCCGACCTGCAGCAGTGAGCGAGCAGTCGACGGGGCTGGCTGATCTGTATGGGGACCACTGTGTCAGAAATAACTGAGCAGGAATGAATGAACTAGAACAGAGTTTGGTACAAGTAGGAAACCCTAACTTTGTGTACCCTCTAAGGTGTAACCCACTACAGCCTAGACAATATAAACATGCAATGTTTGACACACCCCCATAGGCGCAGTGGGAGACAACCACAGGGTCACAAGACCAGTCAAAGCAAAGCAAAGCAAGCTCAGGGTGGATCTCAAGGATTCCACACAAATTCTGAGCACAAGCAAGCGGTCACAAGACCAGTTCACATGCAGGTTTATAACAAAGCAAGAGATACAGTGATCACAACCTAGCAAAAGTAAACAAGTAGGCATACATATATAGTGATCACAGTACAAGCAAGGTCAAGAGGTAAGCAAGTGAGGCCCAGTGGGTACAAGGCCTAGCAGAGTGCAGAAGCGCTGATGGTCACAAGGCTGAAGCGCCTTGGTGAACACATCAGCAGTGTTGGCCTCCGTGGCCACGTAACGCAGACAAAGCTGACCACGCTGCTGCAGCTCTCGAGCAAGGAAGTACCGCAGAGCGATGTGCTTCGTTCTGTGCTCCAGTCTGTGCTCCTCACACAAGGCAATGGCAGCCTTGTTGTCGACGTACAGTACTGGAGGAGAACGAGGCCGCTCTCCGAGGTCGGTCAGCAGGTAGGTCAGCCAGCGTAGCTCCTGAGCAGCCATGGCTGTGGCGTAGATCTCAGCCTCACAACTGGAGCTGAGAACAGAAGAAGAGCGAGTAGAACGCCAAGAAACTGAGCCAGAGCCAAGGCTGAAGGTGTAACCCTGGGACGACCGCTGAGTAGCCTGGTCGTCTGCCCAAGAAGCGTCTGAGTGCCCTGTGAGAACAACCCGGTCTCGCCCTCCAAGCACAAGCCCCATGCCCGACGTACTGCACAAGTAGCGCAATACCCTCTTAGCAGCATCCATGTGCTCCTTCCGGTGACGGCCAGGAGCGACATAGCGTGCTAGGATGCTAAGAGGGTATGCAAGGTCAGGTCGAGTGCAGGTCATCAGGTACATGAGGCAGCCCACAAGCTCTGGATACGGGCCACTCGGCTCTACGGACTCATCCGAAGGCAGAGCTGAGAGCGAGTGACCGGTAGGCAGAGGAGTGGACTGAGGCGAGGAGTACGTGAAGCGGAAGCGCTGGAGAACCTGCTGCACCATGTGTGACTGAGTCAGGGTGATGGTGCGCCGTGCTCTGTCCCGGGTGATCCGCAAGCCAAGATAGCTCGTCAGCTCACCCAGGTCTGTGCACGTGTGTCTCCTCTGCAGCTCCGACTTCACGTGAGCGAGTGCCGCGGTGTCAGCAGTGGCAAAGACCAAGTCGTCGACGTACACGAGGATGTAGAACGGCGGCAGCGAGGTGTCAGTGCGTAGAAACAGCGACGGGTCAGCAGTAGAGGGAGCGAACCCAAGAGCCGCAAGTGTCGTCCTCAGTGTGTCGTGCCACTCACGTGGCGCCTGGCGGAGACCGTAGACAGGCCGCTGAAGCCTCCACTGGGTGCCAGGAGGAACTGACCCAGTGAAGCCAGGGGGGCGGCGCAGCCAGATCTCCTCGTGCAGGCTGCCCTGCAAGAAAGCAGTGCTGAAGTCAAGAGAGTGAAGCTCGTAGTCGCGGTGAGCGGCTATGTGCAGCAGCACCCGAAGAGTAGTCATCTTCGGGGTGGGGGAGAAGGTCTGAAAGAAGTCTACTCCCTCTCGCTGACTGAAGCCTCGAGCCACGTAGCGCGCCTTGAAGACAGGAGGAGAACCCGGCGGCCGCTTCACCCTGAAAATCCACATGCCACTGACGATGTTCGCCCCAGGAGGGGGAACCTCGTCTACGTAGGTGCCTGTGGACTTCCAGGAGGCCATCTCTGCGTCCATGGCTGTCTGCCACTGAGAGGAGTAGGGACCCGCCATCGCCTCAGCGTAAGAGCGTGGGGTCGGGATGTCTGGTGCATCCGGGTCTCCCTCAGGGGCAACTAGCAAGGACACGAGACGGGGCAAAGCAGCAGCAAGGCAGTGGAACTCCTCCTGTCTGTCCTCAAGGACGTCCGTGCCGAGGGCACACTCACCCCCGACGGACGGAGGACAGGCAGACGTAGACTCAGACCTAGCGACAAGGCTGGCAGCGTAGTCTAGGCGACAGCGAGCAGCAAAGTCAACCAACTCAGTGACCAGAGCAGACGCAGCAGAGGACTCAAAGGTCGGGTCAGTGACAACTGTAGCGAGGAGACGCGTAACAGTGGGACTGGCAGCACGACGGGAGTCAGACTCCGGGTCAGGAAGAGTAGGAAGAGAGGACGCAGGAGGAGACGGCAGCGGGACACGCTGCGGAGCAGTGGAGGGACGTAGAGTCATGTAGTGAGTGCCAGGGACAGGAGGAGGACGCTCACGTGGGACACGACGACCAGTGCGAGCAGTACGAACAGGCGACGCAGGACGAGACTCAGGCTCACGATGCTCTGTAAGACCTCCTGTGGGACCAGCGTAAGGAGAGGGAGCAGGGAGAGGCGAGGCAGGCGGTAACTGTGACTGCAGCTGGACAGGCAGAGGACACTCGACGGAGGGAGGAGGACTAGGAGGAGGAGCCTGACCAAGAACCTGCTGAAGGAGCGGTACGAAGTACGGTCGCGGCCGCGCAGCGTCTCCAGAAGCAGCAGGGACACCAGTGGCAGCCCCAACGCCTGAGTCCTCAGCACCAGCAGCAGCTCCAACGCCCGGGTCCTCAGCACCAGTAGGAGCTCCAACGCCCGAGTCCTCAGCACCAGCAGCAGCGCCACCGGTCGGGTCCTCAGCACCAGCAGCAGCTCCAACGCCCGGGTCCTCAGCACCAGCAGCAGGGCCACTGGTCAGGTCCTCAGCACCAGCAGCAGCGCCACCGGTCGGGTCCTCAGCACCAGCAGCAGCTCCAACGCCCGGGTCCTCAGCACCAGCAGCAGCTCCAGTCCCCGGGTCCTCAGCACCAGCAGCAGCTCCAGCGTCCGGGTCCTCAGCACCAGCAACAGCACCACCGCTCGGGTCCGCAGCACCAGGAGCACCACTACGAAGACTGCAGCGCCGCGTGTACCACTCGCGGATCACCTGAATGGGGGGGAGCTCCTGGGTAGGAGGGGAAGTACCGGGACGAGCTCCAGAAGCACCTCTCCGGAGGCGGCAGTACTCGAGGTACCTCTCCTGCAGCTGCTGGGAGGAGAGGGCTCCTCCAGGTGGAGCACGCTCAGGCTCAGCACCCCCAGACTCAGCACCCCCAGACTCAGCACCTCCAGGCTCCGCACCTCCAGGCTCCGCACCTCCAGGCTCAGCACCCCCAGGCTCCGCACCTCCAGGCTCAGCACCCCCAGGCTCCGCACCTCCAGGCTCAGCACCCCCAGGCTCCGCACCCCCAGACTCAGCACTCCCAGGCTCAGCACCCCCAGACCCAGCACCCCCAGGCTCAGCACCCCCAGACGCAGCACCCCCAGGCTCAGCACCCCTAGCAGGACGAGAGTCAACAGCTACCTCGACAGGCTCACCCGGGTCTACCTGGGACACACCTGAGGGAGCGGCACCCTGAGGGGGGAGGGGGTCTGGTACCTCAGCACCTGGAGCGAGGAAGAGAGGCGGGGGGGGGAGCGGGGCAGTGCGGTAGGGGAAGAGGCGGTAGAAGGGGACGGACTCGTCAAAAGTGACGTCCTGAGAGGCCAGAACCCGGCGCGAGGTGACGTGGTAAAACTGCCATCCAGGCGCGTCAGGAACAAAGCCAAGAAAGACACAGGGAAAAACGCGACGCGAGAGCTTGTCCGCGGACGTGTCGCGGACAAAAGCTCGAGATCCCCAGACCCGGAAACGCGACGCATCGCCAACCTCTCCCGTCCACCGTAGAGTCGGGGAAGTCTCCGGCAAGGAGACACGGGGCCAGAGGTTGAGCTGATGCGCTGCGTACCGGACCGCAAACGGCCACAGAAAGTGGGGAGCAGCCGCATGGGTCAGGGAGGTACGAGCGACCTCCATGACCAAGCCAATGCGGCGCTCAGCGACCCCATTCTGCTGTGGAGAGGCCGGAAGCGTGTACGACTGCTCAATGCCGTGCTCAGCACAGTAGGCTGCCAAGAGGTCGGAGGCAAACTCACCACCTCTGTCAGAGTGCAAGCGCAGGACAGGAAAGTCCGAGTGAAAGCGCTCGCCTAGCTGGAGACGGGCTCGGCTGATCCAGGGGATCAAAACACCAGGGACGTCACCCTTGGCACGCAAGGGGAAGACCGTGGTGTAGCGCGAGTAGTCGTCAACAACTATCAGGAAGTACCTCTCCTGACCCTGACCACGGACGCGGGCTGGGCCCCACACGTCCATGTGGAGCGTCTGCAAGGGAGCAGTCGTCGGGGGAAAGGAGGAGGAGTGAGGAGCGGCGCGCTGCCGCCCCTCGACACAGGGAATGCAGTCAGGAGCAGGGGAGTCAGGAAGGGGAGGGAGCACCCTGGGAAGACCAGCAACAAGGTCCCGTTTGTGCATGGCCCGCAGGCGCTGCACAGACGGGTGACCAAGGCGGTGGTGCCAGAGGACGGTGTCGTTCGCCAGAGAGCGACACGAGCAGGGGGCGGACAGCTGACCTGACGCTGACGCAGACGCAGCTACCTGAGGGGACTCAGTGGTCAGTGTGTACAGGTCAGACCCCGGCTCTCGAGTGAAAGTAGCTAGGTGGCGGCCCGTCCGAGCACACGTGCAGTGAGTCACACGCTCGTAGGCAGGGGTGAACTGGTGAACACCCCCGTCCTGGAGCGCACTACCTGCCACCAAGTTCGTGGAGAACGAGGGGAGGTAGAGACCTGAGAGCGTGCCGGACGGAACCGCTGGACACGGAAGGGTGGTGGAGGAGGTCGCAAGGACCGGACCCCCAGAGGGGTCAGCAAGAGAGACAGCAACCGGCCGAGCTAGAGGCTCAAGGACAGTGCGGTCACGAAAGAAAGAGCGAGAAGCACCTGAGTCCAGTGTGAAGGTGTGCAGTGCTGCAGTCGACTCAGTACCAGGGGGCACAGACGCACAAGCACCTAGAGCAGCAGCTGCAGTAGTACCTGTGGAAGCAGACACACTAGCACCTAGAGCAGCAGCGGGGCTGGCCTGAATGCCCGGGTCGGGCGGAACACGCAAGTACTGAGCACCCTCTCCACTAATAGACATCGCATACATGGCAGTGAGAATAGCATCAAAGTCTAGTGCCCAAATATCAACACCCTTCCTGAGCAGCTCAGCCCAGCGCGGCAGCTCACCCCCACCAGGAAACTGGGTGCGCCACGCATCGTTGAGGCGGGCGAAGCAGCGCTCCGTCTGGTGCGGCCCCCCACACGTCTGGCCAGTGCGGTCACCTGTACGAATAACGTACTGGCAGGTGACGCTGCGCCGCGCATACCACTCACGGGCGGCCTGAAGGGTCGGGGCAGGCTGCTGACTCTGACCGCCCCCCGGGCCTCCACGACCACCACCCCCTCCGCCTCCGCCCCGGCCACCTCCACCCCTGCCGCTGCCACGACCACCTCCGCCTCCGCTGCCACCTCCGCCCCTGTCACCACTCCCAACGCCGCTGTCACCTCCACCACTGCCGCCACTAGCCTCTCCAGTCGCACCTCCACCGCCACCACCTCCACCTCCGCCTCCTCCGCCACCACCCCCACTCCTGCCACTCCTGCCCCTGCGTCGTCCGCCTGAAGCAGACGCAGCCCCGACCTTCTCAGCACCAAGGAGGTCGACAGCAGCAGCAGATGCGACAGAGGGGAGGAGGGGGGAAGGGGAGCACCCCTCGAAGAAGGGGCCGCGGGGGTCGCCACGAGAGGTGCCTACAGCAACGATACTAGCCTCGGCTGCAAGCAGTTCCTTCTCGAGGAGGTCTACGGTGAGCTCAGTGGGGGAGTGTGTTGGGTGCAAATGCACATTGCACGACATCCTGCCGTCTGTTTGTACGAGTATGCGTGTGCGAATGCATTTGCGTGTGAATGGTGTGTTCGTGTGTTTGTTTGCTTTCGCATTTTTCGCTTGATGCATTTGCAGGTACTCGCGCAATGTGCGCTTCGGCACAACATTGTACGCGCTATAAACAGTGCAAGCAGAAAGGACGAGCTCGCAAAGGAACCCAAGATGGAAGCTTTGCAGTTCGGTTGAGTTAATTGCGCAGATTCAGTTCTATCCAACTCGAAATTGTACTGTTTTATTTGGTTAACTATAGTGTAGCAGGGAAGGCACTATAGGGGTACAATTTAGGTGAAGGTTGGATGTTGTTTGTCTGTATCTGCATGCTACAAGGCCAGGGGAAACCAGCGGAACCAGCATTTGGCTGGTTGGGCAAAGACAAAACAGGTTCTGTTTTTAGAACCTGAACCTGGTTGTTGTTTTCCCAGGTTGGAAAAACAGAACCAGAGGTTGTTTACCAACCTACCACCTGCTATTTTGTCCAGCCAGGTTGGTTCTGTTGCTTGGAATTATTTGGGATCATCCCTGGTTGTTCCCAGGTTGATTCCCAAGGTCCTTGCTAGCTAGAACTATTTAATCCTTCTCTGTTTGTACCTGAATATAGTCAAATTGATTCAAGCGAATTCCTTCCTCGCTGGAATTTCGTTTCTGCGCTATTCGACGGCGGAATGCTACCCGAGTCAACGCTAGTATGCTAGCACTCCAACGCTAGGCAAACGCTGTCCGAGCCAGAACTTAGTAATGGCAGAACTTTTCGCGAGGCAACTTGGCTCATTTTAAAGCTCTTGGAGCGAGCTTCGATATAGCAAATTCTCAGCTTAATCCGATCGACGGTCTGCACGGCACGCTGCGCGACGTTCAAGGTACTCTTGCTGTTTTGACTAAGTCCTTCTTGATCCCTCTCTCTACAAACTCGGACCCGAGGATAGGGGCTGGTCTTGTACCAGGCACCCAGGGACCCTTGGAGGTGACCCCGAGGAGAGGTTTTAAGTTTGATTAAGTCCTAATAGCTTGAGTTTATTAGGCCCTTACACCAACAAGCTGGTATCAGAGCTGCGTTATAGTGATCCTCGTTATAGGTAGCTATGGCGGGCAACACCTCGGCGGGAGCTGGTGAATCTTCAGCCCAAGATCGTAGCGGCAGCCAAGATTCTGGTCTTTCAGCGCCAAGGGGAGCGCGAACAAACCAGGGCTCGCTTGTCAAGGAGGTGCTGAAGAATTTCACCGTCGAGAAGTTCAATGGTGAGGGCTATGATGATTGGGCCTGGAAAATGCAATTATATTTCCGTCAGATCGGTTTGCTGAAACTAATGATTGGGGAGGAGCCTAGACCGAGTGACCCCACGCTGCAGGAAGATTGGGACGAGCGCTCCTCGGCTGGCTACTATTTGATGTCGCAGAGTTTGGAGCTGAACCAGCGTCACCACGTCATGCACCTGCTGCCGGAGGTTGAATGCGGTCCGAAGGCGTGGACCGTGTTGAAGGAGCTGCACGCCCCGACCTCCGTTGTCGCAACGTTGATGCTGGAGAGGGAGCTGTCCGCGTTGCGCCTGAGCGAGGGAGAGCCGGTGCAACCAGTCCTGGACAAGATGCGCGACCTCTACGCGAAGTTGGCGACCGCGGGAATCACCTACCCGGAGCAGACCAAGTGCTTGAAGATGCTCTCGCTGCTGCCAGAATCGTGGCTTCAATTTACGAGCGGATTGAGCCTGCCGCAGAACCAGAGCTTGTGGACGCTCGAGTGGGTGCGGACGAAGATTCTGGAGGAGGACTTCCGTCGCCGCCAACTGAGGGGTGGAGACGACGGCAGCAGCGGCTACGGGATGCAAGGGAGCCGACGTGGCAGAGGACGTGGCTTCGGTGGTGCTGGACGCGGTGCAAAGAAAGACGACGACTCCAACGACCAACAAGGAGGTACCGGTTGGGGTCGCGGTGCGAAATCTGGACGTGGGGGCAAGTCGGGTGCTGGTGGCAAAATGAAAGGGAGTTGCTGGTATTGTGAGAAGGAAGGGCACCCCTGGTTTTTGTGCTATAAGAAACCCGATGGATGGACCCCCCAGAATCGTCACCAGGATGGCGGCGCGCGGACGAACCAGAAAAACGGCGCCAACATGGTCGCTGATTCGTCCGACAACAACCCGAAGGGCAACGGCGGTGCGGAGAAGAAGAAGGAGCGCACCGCGGGCCAATTCTTCCATGTGGGAGACAAGGGGGAGCAAGGAGACGCCTCTGCCAAAGTTGGAGCAGAGCTGTGTTGGTGTAAGGGCCTAATAAACTCAAGCTATTAGGACTTAACCAAACTTAAAACCTCTCCTCGGGGTCACCTCCAAGAGTCCCTGGGTGCCTGGTACAAGACCAGCCCCTATCCTCGGGTCCGAGTTTGTAGAGAGAGGGATCAAGAAGGACTTAGTCAAAACAGCAAGAGTACCTTGAACGTCGCGCAGCGTGCCGTGCAGACCGTCGATCGGATTAAGCTGAGAATTCGCTATATCGAAGCTCGCTCCAAGAGCTTTAAAATGAGCCAAGTTGCCTCGCGAAAAGTTCTGCCATTACTAAGTTATGGCTCGGACAGCGTTTGCCTAGCGTTGGAGTGCTAGCATACTAGCGTTGACTCGGGTAGCATTCCGCCGTCGAATAGCGCAGAAACGAAATTCCAGCGAGGAAGGAATTCGCTTGAATCAATTTGACTATATTCAGGTACAAACAGAGAAGGATTAAATAGTTCTAGCTAGCAAGGACCTTGGGAATCAACCTGGGAACAACCAGGGATGATCCCAAATAATTCCAAGCAACAGAACCAACCTGGCTGGACAAAATAGCAGGTGGTAGGTTGGTAAACAACCTCTGGTTCTGTTTTTCCAACCTGGGAAAACAACAACCAGGTTCAGGTTCTAAAAACAGAACCTGTTTTGTCTTTGCCCAACCAGCCAAATGCTGGTTCCGCTGGTTTCCCCTGGCCTTGTAGCATGCAGATACAGACAAACAACATCCAACCTTCACCTAAATTGTACCCCTATAGTGCCTTCCCTGCTACACTATAGTTAACCAAACAAAACAGTACAATTCCGAGTTGGATAGAACTGAATCTGCGCAATCAACTCAACCGAACTGCAAAGCTTCCATCTTGGGTTCCTTTGCGAGCTCGTCCTTTCTGCTTGCACTGTTCATAGCGCATACAATGTTGTGCCGAAGCGCACATTGCGCGAGTACCTGCAAATGCATCAAGTGAAAAATGCGAAAGCAAACAAACACACGAACACACCATTCACACGCAAATGCATTCGCACACACATACTCGTACAAACAGACGGCAGGATGTCGTGCAATGTGCATTTGCACCCAACACACTCCCCCTCAGCCTGCCGGCTGCATCCCCGTCATTCCATGCTAGTTCATGCTCATTCCACTCATGCGCACACAACGCCAATGAGGCTCATCCGCAAGCCTCTTGGTGAGAAAGTCTGCTGGCTGCTGGTGAGTCTTGATGTAGATCGGATTCACCGTCCCCCTCTTCACCTCCTTACGCAGCCAGTGCCACTTGATACGCATGTGCTTGTTCAGCCCATGAAGCACAGCGTTTCTGGCCATCCCAAGAGCCCCCTTGCTATCACAAAACAGCGGCGTAGCAACTTTCTGCTCCTGGCCAATCTCCTCTAACAGCCTCCTCAGCCAAATCACCTCCTTCACCCCATGGAACATCGCCATGTACTCTGATTCTACGGAAGAGAGTGCCGTCTCCGTCTGCTTCTTGGACCTCCAACTAACAGGTCCTCCCCCAACTACGCAGATGTATCCTCCCACAGATGAGGAATCCTCCTTCTCAGAAGCCCACGTAGCATCGGTAAAGCAAGTGAGAAATAGCTTGCCTTCTCCAAGCCTCTCCCCCTTCTCTTTCAGCACCTCCACCCCTTTCTGCTTCACCTGTGCAGATGCGGAGTATTGAACTCCAATGCTTGGGTGAGAGTTCAGGTACTTCACCACACGCTCAGCTGCATCCACCTGCTCCTCTGATGGATTCTGCACCACCCTAGCCAGCTGCCCAACCGAGAAAGAGATGTCGGGCCTCGTGTAAACTGCTGCGTACAAGAGGCTGCCCACCAAGGACTGAAATTGCTGCTGCTCCTCGGCTTCAACCCCTTCATCCTCTGCAGCCTTCACAAGCTTGAATTCTGCTGGCAGGGGAGTTGCAACCTTGCGCTCATTCTCAATCCCATACTTCTCCCCCAGCTCCTTGATGAATTTCTCCTGGTGCAGCTTCAACCACCTGTGATCTGGATCCCTCTCCACGTGCATCCCGAGGTAGTACTTTACCTCCCCAAGGTTCTTGCACTTGAAGTTTTCCATCAGTTGCTGCTGCACTTTCTGGATCTCCTTCATGCTGCTGCTGAAGAGAAGAATGTCGTCCACATAGACCAGAAACAGCACCAGCTTCTCCCCCTCGCCCTTGAGAAAGAGGCTCTCATCACAGCTGCTGGTCCTGAATCCCATCTCCTCTAAAACAGCTGCCAACTTCTGGTACCAGCAGCGTGGCGCCTGCTTCAAGCCGTAGATGGACTTGTTGAGCTTGCACACCCTGCCCGTACCATCCTCATACCCAGGCGGCTGCGTCATGTACACATCCTCCTCTAAAATCCCATTCAGGAATGCCGTTGAAATATCCATCTGAATGATGAATTTCCCACTAACAGCTGCATCTGCCAACAAGACACGGAGGGTAGGGGGTTTGGCAGTGGGAGCAAAGATCTCGTTGAAGTCCTGCTTCTCCTTCTGCATAAACCCCTTCGCCACCAGCCTACTCTTGTAGATGGTGACCTGCCCCTTGTCATCGGTCTTGATCCTCAGCACCCACTTGCATTGTATCGCTTTCTTCCCATCAGGCAGCACCACCAGATCCCATGTCCTATTCTCCAGCAGACTCTGGTACTCAGCATCCCTAGAAGCCAGCCACTTGTCCCTATCTGGTCCAGCTAATGCCT